AATCCCAGTCCCAGCAACCTAAATCCCATTTTCCCAGTCTAAAAATAGATCAATCCCAGTTCCCATTTTATCCCTTCAGGACCCTCTAATGTGTGTTCCTGTGTAATATATGTGTGCTGACCAAATCCGAATATAGTTATTATTGAGTCTAATTTGGGACCCTTTTTGACCATCGTTTATTGTGACAAATCATCGGTTCTCTCTCATTGGTGAGCGGATTTCCCAACAGGCTAATTGCTCAATTGATAGGGGATCCGAGGTAACTATGATTTTAATGTCCTTATCCGAGAAGATAAAAAAGTAATGATGTCAATGATGACCTTGAGTAGAGGTCCGACCAAAGTTGAACCCGAGTCTCCCTGCTGGAAAGGCAGGCGTGGTCACCACAAACCCTGGTTCCCATATGATCGTAAAAATAGAGTCACGATCTTTCTCAACGGCCAGTTTATACTAGTTTATTAGAATGTTATGGTTTCGAATCCAAGTGAGAATATATACATTTTAAGACCTAACTAGGAACGACTGCGAAAAATGCAACACAAGATCCTCTCGTAGGAATTGAATCTACGGCCCTGCGATTCCGGTCCAGCGCTCTAACCAACTGAGCTACAGAAGGCAGCTCGTAAGCTGTAACCGTAAGTTCATGTATATATAGGTAATCGGGTGTGCGGGTTGTGATAAGGTGGACTTCATGACTTAGATTCTTGCACTTCACTCGGTGGAATTAATATTAGAATGTTATGGTTTCGAATCCAAGTGAGAATATATACATTTTAAGACCTAACCAGGAACGACTGCGAAAAATGCAGCACAAGATCCTCTGGTAGGAATTGAATCTACGGCCCTGCGATTCCGGTCCAGCGCTCTAACCAACTGAGCTACAGAAGGCAGCTCGTAAGCTGTAACCGTAAGTTCATGTATATATAGGTAATCGGGTGTGCGGGTTGTGATAAGGTGGACTTCATGACTTAGATTCTTGCACTTCACTCGGTGGAATTAATATTAGAATGTTATGGTTTCGAATCCAAGTGAGAATATATACATTTTAAGACCTAACCAGGAACGACTGCGAAAAATGATTTATACCTGTAAACCGCATATAAATCATAAGTATTCTCTAGTTAAGATCACTCCGCGTATTTTCAGTTCTAAAATGTTGTATTTCGGCTGATGAGAAAGATCGTGACGTAATGTTTCAAATCCGACTATGAGGACTGGACTAGATTAGACAACTTGCATGTTAGACAAATTTTTGATCTAGCCGATCTAGGCACAAAAAAAGTAAATTCCCGTTAAGAACTTATTAAAATTAGTAAAATTGCAAAATTTGGTTGCGAAATGTTGTAAAGCTTAGAAAATACAGCCTTGCAAAGTTTGCATGTTTTCAGTATATTTGTATTACGTGCGGAAATTGTTACCATTTTTGAGCCGAAAATGGTAACAATTTCCGCTCGTAATACAAATATATTGAAAATTTGCAAAGTTTGCAAGGCTATATTTTCTAAGCTTTACAACATTTCGGAACCAAATTTTGCACTTTTACTATTTTCAGTATGTTCTTTTCAGCTGTGGTGTTTGATTCCCCTTTTCTCTGCTTAGATCAAAATTTAGTCCAACATGCAAGTTGTCCATTTGATCAAGTCCGAGGCGAAGCCGAGGACTAGATCGACAAAATGCGAGGACTTGAAATCTAGTCCAGTCTGAATTGGAGGATTTGAAATGACATCTCATGCGAATAAATCACTACTTAGTTAATTTCGATCCAGTCCAAGGACTGAATTGAATTAATTTTGATCCAGTCCCTGCGCTCCTTCGCCCAGCGGCTACGCTCGTGTTCCAAGATCCGCCATGTAAAGTGTAGTGAAATGTATCTCATCGTAATATTAAATCCTAAGAAAACTAAAGCCTCTGCGGAGGAGAGAGGGACTGAATTGAATTAATTTTGATCCAGTCCAAGGACTGAATTGAATTCATTTTGATCCAGTCCTAGGACTGGATCAATATATTTCACCAGGTGTCCAGTAAGAACACATTGGTATAGAAGGAACTAGATACTGTTCCGAAATATCACTTACTCGAACCGTCCTGACCGCGTAGCTCAGTTGGAAGAGCATTGGGCTAGTATTCCAAAGGTCGTAGGTTCGAATCCCACCGTGGCCGGACATATTTTTCAAGCTCGCCCGGTGTGGATATGCACTCAGAGTAACATCGCAAACATATTATTCACCTGAGTACACAACACCAACACAGAAAAAAAAAATCATAAAAGCAATATGGTTGGCTAATTTACTCATGAATTATTAATGAGTTTGAGATTCGATCTTTACGACCTTTATGGACCAGGCTTAAGAGCTGTCGAAGCATGTTTCTGACAAGCTTAGAATCTAGTTTCCTTGTAAATACCAATGGTGGTAAACGCCATTAACTATATTTCTTGGACTTTTATAGGACAAGAGAAATTTGGAAATATGACAAAGGTAGGTTATAGTTAAGCAACAGTTGGTCATAGATTGTTAATTGCTAATTAGTCTAATAGTGAGTAATAATGCCGCACGATTCTACTTATCAAAGGAAGATTCTTCAAGGGTAATAATATCTATCTAAAATTAATCGCATCATAGAATATTTTTTATTTACTAGGTCTATTACAAAGAGGCAGTTGCCGCATTCGTCGTGTTTGACGTCACTCGCGCTACAACATACGAAGCTGTCGAGATATGGAAAAGTGATTTGGACAGCAAAGTCTTTCTACCAAATGGCTCGCCAATTCCTGCCGTGCTTCTAGCAAACAAAGTAAGTTGATCGTTCAGGGTAACGTATATACCAGTCTATCGGTCAGGAGTGGATCTAGCCTCATCTACAAAGAGGGGTGTAGGTTTCCATGGTGTGGTGCACGAGGAAGCCTTACAGCCCACTCTCCTCTGCAGTCTGCAAAGCTACTATCCCAACATTACCATTATTTGAGAATGGCCGAATCTGCCTGTTCGCCGTTACAGATACAGATATTTCACAGCACACTCCCTATATCAGGGCTTTTCAGTGACTGGTTACATTATGAATAAATAGATAGAACCGGACTGACGTGAAGCAGACCGAGGTAGACTTTGAGCTTACAAATGGCACTTGAGCAGCTGCCGCTATTAGTCCATACCTCATTAATGATCTGCCTCCAGACCTATGTGCCTAACCCACCCTGTCAACTTTCCCTGTGGGAGGAAACACGGAGTGCCCGGAGAAAACCCACGACTTTCGGCAGAGCGTTGACTTTTACTCTTTTCACATGAGGACTGGGTTCGAGTCACATTGAGAAGCTCTCACTGAGATTCGAACCTGCGGCCTTAGAGGTGAAAGGCAAGTGCGCTAACCACTTCGCCACCGAAGCCCCTTAACACATCGCGACCCCGACTGCGCTTAACTTTCCGCACGCAGCGCCCTTGCCGTATGAGCTAACGGCAAGCTATGGCGCGTTATAGATAGCAATAGAGTGTTGTAGATACCTATGGGGTGTTATGTGGATACCAGTGTAGTGTTTTAGATAGCCATGGAGTGTTATGGATACCAATGGGGTGTTATTGATAGGTAGGGAGTGTTATAGATAGCTATGGATTGTCATAGGTACCTATGGAGTGTTATGGATACCAGTGGAGTGTTATATATATTAGATACCTATGGGGCGTTGTAGATAGCTATGGATCGTATAGGTAGCTATGGATCGTTATAGATAGCAATGGGGTGTCATAGATAGCTATGGAGTGTTCTAGATAACTATGGAGTGTTATAGATACCTATGGAGCGTTGTAGATAGCAATGGAGTGTTATAGATATCTATGGGGTATTATAGATATCGATAGATATATAGATATTTATTTGCCCACAAAACGATATATATATATATATATATATATATATATATATATATATATATATATATATATATATATATATATATATATAATTATATATATGTTATTTACCGGCTGCGAGGTCCGGCTGAGAATAACTGTGCCCGAGGTCTTGAAAACGGCCCTAACACTAACCCTTCCCTAACCCTAACTCTGAATACCACTGTTGTTTTCCAATTTGCCAGAATAAGTATTTCAAACATTTTGTGATATCTCAAAAACTTTTAACAACTTTTCTTAGAATTTAAACAAAACAAAACAAAACAACGTAATCTTCCGCAGTGTTTAAAACGGTCAGTTACTTCTCTGTATGTCTTATCTATATCTACTCTGTGTCCGAACCGACGCTGCCGGTAAATAACGTGTTTATTTTTTATCAGATGTAAAAATTAAATTGATTAAAATTCCAGTGATGCTTGCGAACTAATTTGAGATCAGTGCAGTTGTGTATTTTCAAAGTGACTAAGTGAGGCTGACAAAAATTGAAAAGTTAAAAGATATAAAACACGAATACGAAAACTCGAGAAAACTGGCAAGAAACACACAAAAAGACGTATAGTTGCAGTAAAAATGTACATGATTTTTTCCTGAATATGCTAGCAGAGAAGCTTTGGAATAAAAACTTTTATACCTGGCGTTTTGGCTTTGGCTTTGACAAGTTGCTCCTGACAACGACAGGTTCATGTTCAGATCCAATCAAAAACATATAAAAATGAATCTGTTTTGATTTAATTAACGTGTTTCTACTAAAAGGACAATGAAAAAGGTATGTTATTTTTATATTTTTGTATTTTTTCTTGTCGTTTCACGATAATATGCTTGAAAAAAGTGTTTTTAAACGGCAAACTTTTACTTTGTTTACAATATTTATATCAGTGAAAAATACATGGCACAAATGGGTGGATAATATATTCGTGACTTGTTTTCACTGCTGCTATTAAACCTTCTTTTAATAAATGGGAAAACATTTATTTTACAATATCTGTCTAAGCTGTAATTTTTTCGCTTTTAAGTGGCCGAATACATGAGCATTTAAAAAATATATAGTTTTCTCGACGTAAGTTTTATACATGTCAAATACTTTCCGACTTTCAGTCCATTTCTATATCAAAATATTGTCAATTGTCGTGAACATCGTTCTTAGTATGAAGCATTTAGCGCTTGATGCAATTCATTTTCGTATTCTGACTATCGTTAGGCTATGTTTTTCAAACGTTTTTGGCAGATTTTTTCGTTTAAAAATTGTTTCACTCCTCAGTTTTTGCCGCGATACCTATTTTCCAAACATCACAAAATTGACCACAAAATTCACTGGATTTTCGACTAAATTTACAGAACTTGTCCCATTTAGTTTTATTACAAACCAAAATTGCCCGACTGTTGATCGAATATTGCCCGACTGCCCAAAAAACTGGGGGGCTACTACCCCTCCCCCCTGCCTGGTACGCCTATGATGGAGTGTTATGGATACCAGTGGAGTTGATAGATACCTATGGAGCGTTGTAGATAGCTATAGTTATAGATAGCAATGGAATGTTATAGATACCTATGGAGTGTTATGGATACCAGTGGAGTGTTATAGATACCTATGGAGCGTTGTAGATAGCTATGGAGCGTTATACAGCAGGGGCGGATTCAGCGTCTCAATCTGACCGTAGCATTTTGGATGAAACGAACATGCGGGGCCGAAGGCCACGCTCTTCCTTAGGGGGGGGGGGGGTTGGCGCGCCAGCGCTTATTCACGCCGCCGCCCCAGCGCTTATGCACGCCTCCGGCCAATGCGCTACTTCGTATAATAGTAATATGAAGGGAATATGATATTCTAAAAATGGCAGTTTATTTAAAACAGGTACGAATATTAGACAAATATACGTAAAATTATTTATATAAATAGCCAAATATCGTTCTGCTGTGCTCCCTTGGTGTGAGTGGCCATTGATATTGTTCTGTATTTTTCAATAATAATACGTTTCATCATCAAATATATGGTAATATATTCGAGACGAATGAACTGTGTAAACAATTCAATATGTTATTTACATAATATTTAATATACTATTCATGAGACTGACCTGACACGGAGGTGATTCAAACAGCGCCGTTCTTCACAGTTCACATCGCGGGAAATGCAAATTATTCCAATAATCGAACACCGAAAGCTTTCGATCAGAATTCTTTCGCGCGCCATTTCGTTAAATGAAACACGCTACATTCGTTCATTATACACAAAAGGTCGTGGAGTGGATCTGTAGTCCTTCAGAAGCCATATCTTTCTCCTTGCAACGAGCGGCGATTAACATTTACCGACTATTCGATTACAACGAGGAGCCGACACGACAATAACTAGCCAGCATCGCTCTGAAGTCTATGTAGACTTGCCACAAGTCGAACTCGAACGAAACGCGAGCAGCGAGCGCGTTTTGTTCGAGGTCGACTTGTGGCAAGTCTAAAGTCGATGCGACTATTGCAAACCGAGTAGCATTTTGCCTCATTCCGATTGGCTAATTGCTTCGTCTGACCGTAGCAAACCAATCAGCACGTCGTATTTGCGCATTTTTGCAACGGTCAGTTTCAATCTGACCACTGCAAAAATTTCCAAATACAGCGCTATGATTGGTTTGCAACGGTCTGAATCCGCCCTTGTACAGGGTGTATAAAAAAAAAGGAGACCTTTGCTGAACCGTAGTGCATATATTAGAAAAAGGAGACCTTTAGAAATTGAAATAACGTTTAAACAAAACATTGTCTGCTCCTGGGAACAATCTGCCATGAATACTGTACGTAGATCGCATGTTATGCACTCGTGGGCTTAAGCCGGTTTTCCACTTCAACCGTATATCGTAACGTGCCGTAGCATTTTCGTTTGTGTCGAAGTCATTAGTTCCACTCTAGTGGTCAGGAAACAAAGAAATACGCTACGCTTCGCTACGATACGATTGAAGTGGAAAACCAGCTTTAGCAAAGTGCCCCAGGATTCAAA